ATTCATCACCCGGGGGGGTTATTTTGGGTCTGGGGGCTCTCAGCGGACGCTGGGCAGGATGAGGGCCAGGGCCATGTCCCTGGGGCCCCAAGTGCCACCTCAATGTCCCCAAATCCTCACGTGCCACCCCAGTGTCCCCAAATCCCATTCCGGCCATGACCCCGAGCACGAACAAGGACAGACAAGTTTGTGAGGTTTATTATTCCCCACCTGGGGGGGTTTATTTTGAGTCTGGGGGCTCTCAGTGGACACTGGGCAAGATGAGGACCAGGCCCACGAGGCCCCAAGTGCCACCTCAATGTCCCCAAATCCAACCACGACCCTGAGGACGGGTGAGACCGTGGCGGGGTTTATTCCCCAGCGCCCACCCTGGGGGGGGTTATTTTGGGTCTGGGGGCTCTCAGTGGACGCTGTGGGCCGGCTTGGGCAGGATGAGGGCCAGGGCCAGGTCCACGAGGGCCGAGGGCAGGTACGAGGCGGGCAGCCAGAGGAATTTGGCGTCCCAGCCCGCGCTGTAGCGGCTGCGCGGGTGGCGCGCCCGCAGCGCGTGCTCGATGCAGTTCGTCACCTTGGACAGGTCCTTGTCACACAGCAGCGACAGCAGCAGCCGCTGCACCTTCAGGTCTGCCGTGGCCAAAAAGGGGCAGGGAAACAGGGCAGGGGTGAAATTGTGAATTTTGGGGTCTGTGGGAGGTGGGAAAGGGGGAAGTGAGGAGGGGGTGAGATGGTGGGGTTTGGGGTTTGGGGGATGCAGGGAAAGGGAAACTGAGGCAGGAGTGAGATGATGAAATTTGGGGTTTGGGGGATGTGGAAATGGGTCAAGAGAGGGGAAACTGAGGCAGGGGTGAGACGCTGAAATTTGGGGTTTGGGGGATGCAGGGAAAGGGAAACTGAGGCAGGGGTGAGATGATGAAATTTGGGGTTTGGGGGATGTGGAAATGGGTCAAGAGAGGGGAAACTGAGGCAGGGATGAGATGATGAAATTTGGGGTTTGGGCGATGCAGGGAAAGGGAAAGGGAAGCTGAGGCAAGGATGAGATACTGAACTTTGGGGTTTGTGGGATGTGGGAAAGGGTCAGGAAAGGGGAAACTGAGGCAGGGATGAGCTGCTGAGGTTTGGGGTTTGGGGGATGACCCAAGGGGGGTCCGGGGCGCGGTACCCCCGCCCCACAGCCCCCTCAGCCCCACTCACACTGGGGGAAGAAGTGCTCCCCGTAGCTGCTGCGGGTCTCGGGCTCCAGGCGCTCCCAGCGCTGCCGCAGCGACGCCTCCAGCGAGTCCAGGTCGGTCACGTTGGTCTTGAAGAAGCCGGGCTCCACAATGCTGACCTTGACCCCAAAGTGCCGCATGTCCCGCCTGGGGAGGGGGGCGAGGGGTGGCCAGAGGGCTCAGGGGGTGGCCGGAGAGGTCAGGGTGTGGCCGGAGGGCCCAGGGTGTGGCTGGCACGGTCAAGGTGTGGCCAGGATGGCCAAAAGGCTCAGGGTGTGGCCGGAGAGGTCAGGGTGTGGCCGGAGGGCTCAGGGTGTGGCCGGAGGGCTCAGGGCGTGGCTGGCAGGGCTCAGGGTGTGGCCGGGGGGGCTCAGGACCCGCGCAGGGCTCAGCACACACCTGAGGCTGTCCGAGAAGGCCTCGATGCAGAATTTGGACACGCAGTAGCCGCCGCCGTTGGCCGAGACCCGGCCCAGCACGCTGGACGTGTTGACCACGCGGCCCCGGCCCCGCTTGAGCAGCGGCAGCAGCGCCAGGGTGACCTCGATGGCCCCGAAGGCGTTGACGGCCATGACCCGGCGGAAATCCTCGATGTCCATCCACTCCGTGGGCCCGATGGGGTTGGCCACGCCCGCATTGTTCACTAGCCCAAAGAGCCCTGGGGGGACACGGAGGGTGTGACACCCCCAGTGTCCCCGGGACCCCCCCAGAGTGACACCCCCAGTGTCCCCGGGACCCCCCCCAGAGTGACACCCCCGGTGTCCCCCGGGACCCCCCGAGTGTCCCCAGGGTGACCTGGCAGGACCTGTCCCCTCACTATTGCAGCCTGTCCTCA